GAGGTAGTAGGAAACAACTAATATCATCAGCATGTAGCAGAAAATATTTGAAGGATATATATATAAAGAGCCAAAGAGGGATAAAACATTATGTTTTAATAATTTATTTTTAAAATTTTTGTTATATTTTTTAGGTTGAACTTAGGGGTGTCAATATTTGACACGACCCGAAAACCCGACTTAAAAATTTTGGGTTATGGTCAACCTGTTTGTGAAATGGGTCGGGTTTGGATTCAACAAACCGGTCCGTTTAAAAAATCGGGTCGAGTTTGGGTTGACCCGAAAACTCGAGAATAACCCTAAAATGATCCTAAAATGACCCAGAAAATTGGTTTGCCCGCATCAGTTGCTCGCCCTGCCTGACGCCTCATTCGACGAATTTCCTTACTTCCTTCCCATCCAATCGGAGCTCGGGACAATTCACCTGAATTGGAAGTAGCGGCGGGAGCTTGCTATATTCCTCAATTAATTTTGCGTGCTTCTTCAACCAAATCCAGTAAATTTGTGTCGGGTCGGGTCAATCCGAAAACTCAACGGGTCAGGTCCGGGTTGAACAAACTGACCCATTTGCAAAAACGGGTTAACGGGTTGGGTTCGAGTCAACCTAAATAAGGTCGAGTCAGTTTCGGATTCGAGTCCGACCAGACCCACAACCCGAAATTGACAACCCTAGTTAAACTCACTTTTAAAAAATTTTGATGGTTAAGAGGCCTATTTGGGACAGTTTTCTCATAATTTTGGGGTTAGACAGCAATCACTTTTCCATTTAGCCATTGATTTCTTGCTAATTTATCGCTACTTGAAAGTCTATTTGGGATGATTTTAGCGTTTTAAAAAGTTGTTTGTGAAGCTGTTGTGGGAAAAATAACTTACCTATTATGTTGTAAAAAGTTGTTTTTTGCTAAAAGAATTTTTGAAAAGCAATGTGAAATCAAGTAAAAAGTAGTAGCGAAATAAAATTATTATTATTATTTGAAAAAGTAAATTAATGAAAAAACTATCCCAAATATATAGATCTTAAAATTTTAAAATTTATTGTTGGAGTCATAAAATTTATATTATGAAATTCATTACCCAAAAAAATACAATATTTTAACAAAATATCATTTTTAATGAATAATTACATATGATGTTATTATAAACTAATCTTTTTTTAGGTTGGGCAAAATAGGATTGGAGTATTTTGAGGGGTGAATTTAAAAACCAAAATTCCTACAATTTTAGATAATTGTATTTATTAAAGGAATAAAATAATTAAAATACTTATTCTATTCAGGAAAAAAATTAAAGGCGGCCAAGACAAAAAAGTTAAAAATATTTATTCTATTAAAAGAAAAAAAATTCATGGTTGGCACTTGTTCATCTTGAGCTCTTCCTATATCCGTCAATGCTAGAGGTGTCAATTTCGGGTCATGGGTCGGGTTCGGGTCGAACCCGAAACTTGTTCATCTTGAGCTCTTCCTATATCCGTCAATGCTAGAGGTGTCAATTTCGGGTCACGAGTCGGGTTCGGGTCGAACCCGAAACTGACCCGGCACTATTCGGGTCAACCCGAACAGACCCGTTTTTAAAAACGGGTCAGTTTTCTTGACCCGAACCCGACCCGCTTCGGGTCCGGGTCAACTCGACACGAC